CTTTAGCTATCTCAAGCTTTATACTTCACACCATATCATCTAGGACAAGAGAGTGTCTCAGAGGTGGAAAATATCCCTGACATTCCTCAAAACACTGAACACAGATTAACATTTTTTTGTTAATTGTTGCTGAGTTAATTCTTGATTGTCCCTTCTGTGCAGAATGGAATTGTTCCATAAGGACTTCAAAGATGTGACTTTCTGGAAGTACATTTCCAAGCCTGTCTTCTGAGATGCCTCTGAGTAGGTTCAAACCACCAACAACCTTTCAGCTAGTAGTGGAGCATTTAACCACTTGTGCCACCCAGGAACTAGAATTACCATTATCATCCAGTAATTCCTCTTGTAATATGTGCTCGAAATAATTGACAGCAAGAAGTTAAAGAGATGCATGTACACCAAAGTTTACTGCAGCACTCTTCAGAATCACCAAAAGATGGAAACAACCTAAATGTCCATCAATAGATGAATGAATAAGCAAAAATGTGGTACATACATACAATTAAATATTATTAATGGCTTTTTATAGTGAAAATAATATGCATGTAACAGGATAAATTGTGTTACTTCTCATGGGTTCAGGCAAGAATTCAAGGAACTAGGCAAGTGTGAAGTCTCTTGGCCAAGTGAGAAAAGTTTTAACAAGTATACCATCAAATGTCTCAACTCTGACAAACTATCAGAAAGGAAAAGACTAAGACTACAGATTTGACTTAAATTCAAGGTAGATTTTTAAGGACAGTGTATCATATGCAGGTAAGACATATATTAAGTAGAGGAATATATATTAAGAAGACAGAGACTTTAAATGGAGTTCTGATAGCATAGTGCCTAAGGCACTTGACTGCTAACCAGAAGGCTGGCAATTCAAACCCACCAGCCACGCCTCAGAAAGAAAGTTGGGCAATCTACTTCCGTAGTGATACTGCCTCAGAGACCCAAGGAGGGGTCGCTGTGAGTCGGGTCCGACTCAACGGTACATAACAACAACAACAACAACAGACTTTAAATAGAGTTAAAATTAGAAGGGGGAAAAGGACTTAAATAAGTGTAGCAATGGATTGGAAATGAAGAATGCATTCAACAAAATAGATTTAAAGTGCAGTGGAATTCCAGTGATGGAGAACATGCTTCCCACATGTCGATCAGGGAAGGCCTCTCAAAGAAAAGACATCTGAAGTAGGTTTGATGATTGAATAATATTAGCATTTATGGAGATTTCTGGGATCTCATTTAATTCTATTAAAAATTAAATTGTAAAGCCCATGCACTCAGGCCAGAACAAAAAATCCTGCAAAATTGCATTCAGTCTATATTGATGACTGATTGTTAAGCAGAAATAAACAAAAAGTTTCACAAGGAGAGCTGAGAGGATGTCATCACCACATCATCCAGAACTCCTGGGCTGCTGGGTACTTGTTCCGAAGGAGAAAAGTGACAAGGAGGCTCATAGCAGGTCCTCATATGAACTGTATGAGAATGAAAATAAAAGTCACTCTGCATAGGTGGAGGTGAGACTTGAGAGAAAAAAAAGTAGATGACTGGAAGGAGAACTGAGGATAGAGAAACAACTTTGGGGGCAAGAAAGATGGATACAATGAACTCACCAGAACTTTCTAAACCAAAATATACAGCCAGTCAGAAGTATTAAGGGTGTTATCACTGCCAAGGAGGTCATGCCCATGGAGTTGTGATTTTCTGTGTATTTGGGTGCACCAAAGGATGTCATTTCAAATCCACTCCATTCACTCCTGTTTAACCACATTTCACTGGTCTTCCTTTGTCCATTTAAGTGTCTGCCTCAACAATCTCCTTTCTTCCTATTTCTTCTTTCCTCCCACTTCAAGGGATAAGGTTTCCTATAACCCTTAACATACCCCTGCATCTAGAGTTCCTCATTTCAACTCTTCTATTCCTTGGTTAAAAAAACTTTTGTCCATTCTGGCCCTGTGATTCCTAAGAAAATAAATATTTTACCTGTTCTTGCTTTCTATTTAAAGACTACTTTCTCCCATTCCCAGCCTGTGCCACAATTCTTTCTTACCCCAGTGGAATGGCCTGGTCACCTAGACTGCTGTGCCTTACTCAGCAAGACAGGCCAGATGCCTCCATGGTTACCACATTCAAGAACACCCAAAGATACCAGGTCCCATCAGTACTGGGCAAGATATCACCTTGCCAAGTGTCCAGCTGCTCCTTCTCCCCTCACATCCACATCACCCACAGGCTTTGGGTAAAAGCCAAAAAGACATGACAAACCAGCAGCACACAGCCTGGACTGAGAGTGGCCCCACTGGACAGCTTGGCTTTAGGCTTCACTGGAGATAACAGGAAAGATATTAAGATAAGGACTCTACCACAAGCTTTAGAGGTATAGATGTCAGTATCAGTTTAAACACATATGTCCTTCCCACTGCTGGGAATCTATCACCCATTATTCTCTCTTCCTTAAACTAAATTTGAAGAAGATAGTTAGAAGATGTGATTTTAAAAAAGAAAATTATTTGAGATAAGGTACAGGACTGACTTTCTCTCTGGAGATCTGCCTTCCTTGCCTCCAGGAGACCCAAGATGAAAGGTAGGCAGGTGTCACTGATGAGCTCATGCACTATTTCCTTGATGCCTTGGTACTGATTGGGTAGTCTGCAGATATTCTGAGCCTTATTTTCACCCTCAGGAGATGGCACCGATGAGTTGTTGTGGACACTCAGGAAATCTGATCCTTTATAAGCTCCCCACAGAAAGCCTGTTGGGCCTCCCCAGAATGCAGCTCACAGCCTCCTTCCACCTGTATCTCAAAGGGATCTGGGGAAGGGGGTTGTGAATTGGAGAAAAGATACTGAAGAAGGTAAATGAAATGAGGGTAAGGAAAAGCAGTAAAAGCAGAAGGGAGAAGTTTGGGGAATATGAGGGAGTGGAGAAAAGTTTGATTTGATTGTAGGTTCTGAGAGAAAAAGTGGTGGGAGCTGGAGATGGAAGAATAGATAAATGACATGAGAAAGGGAGCAAATTGTTTGAAGAAGGTGAGACGAATGTACATGGGCAAGAGGATAGGGGAGAAATTAAAGGGAGAGACTTGGGATGACAGCAATTTACAGTGGATGGACTTCAGTGGATTACAATGGATGTATAGACAGAGACTGCAGAAGAGATTGAAATGAGGAAGAAAATCATACTTTAAGGAGTCAAAGAGTGAGAAAGCTGAGAGTAACTGTATGGAGGCCAGGGAAGAAAGTGGTCACAGATCACTAAAGGAAGATAATGAAGTTTAAGCCAGTAATCAGTGAGAGAGAAAATTGTAAGTAGCAGAGGACATGAAGCTTTTCAAAAGTCAAGATCTGAATTATCCCTCCTCCCTCCCCATTCTCTGTCCAAAGGATATGATTGCAGTAGTATGGTGGAGAAAGATTTTCAGTGGGGAGTAGAGGCTATTTCCTAAAGGAATAAAATACTCATTAAGACACTTATGCCTCCTAAAGCTAATTCTGCCATTGGGAGAACATTCAAGTTGCAATTGACTGTCATAGCTGTGAACTTCCTGAGTCAATCCAATGAAGTACATGTGGAATAGCATTTCCAGTTCTACCAATACATTGTAGCTGAAGTTACCCTTGGCCCAGGGCCATAGGAAAATGATGGTGCCAGAATTAGTTTCCCAGCTATGAGTCTGCAACTCATCCAACCATCCAGAGGTCAGATTTTGTGTCCAGGAATGAGTGCAATAAGATGATATCTGGATAACATGGTAGAAGATAGGCTCCTGGAAGGCTGTGGGTGGCAAAACTATAGAGTAAAGAGAAAAAAAGATATCGTGAAGGAGAATTAATGGAGAAAGAAAAATTTCAGAGAGCGAGAACTCAAATTCTGGAGGAAGGGAAAATTATAATTATTTTTTCAGATATATGCCTGCCCCAGATAACAATGTTCTACCTAAAACCTTCAGAGAAGCATAGGGACCTGGAGACAGAGATACTCAAATAGAATTGGCCTGGCACTCTCACTCTCCAAGTATAACTTATATACAGATTTATCATACAAGCACCCACATTGACAGACCCTCTTGCACCCTACTGAGCAACTGCCAGAGTTCTTACCATCTTCAATGTCACCACCTGGGAGAAGAACAGCTAACAATGGAAGCTGCAGAAACAGCATTTCCTTTGCAGGTGTTATTTCTGTCTCTCAGAAAAACTGGTCTTTGATCTTTGTTCTCCACAAACCTATCCCACAATATCTCTACTCTGACTTTGTTCTCCCACCAACAGATAAACTCTATGTTAGCCACTGTCTGCAAAAAAGAAAACCTGTAAAACTCAAAACACTGGGTCTCCTACTCAGGGTCTTGTTTTCTTTCCAGCTTTGGCTCTCCCTTTTGGCTTCAGACTTCTCTACTTTTCATCAGCATCCATCCTGTTCATTTCTCTTACTTCTACTGCTATGGAACAAGTCTTACATAGCACTGAAAAGCCACTTTACTACTAGGGTCATTTTTTTTCTCATTCATATACTAAGAGAATGAAACTAAATGGTTTCTTGGAACTCTACCCAATGCTTTTACCTCCCTGCTCCTTTCTGTTACTCTACCCTCCTCTTCTGCTTTTGAAAGTTCCCTAAGTATTCTTAGGGATTGCTTAGGGGTTGCAATGAGTTGAATTGACTCAATGGCAGTGAGGTCGTTTTGTTTGTTTGTTGAGCTTTATTATAACGTAAAGAATCTCTGAATACATCACTCCTCACTTATCACACTCATATCTCTGGCTTCTCACTGGTTCACTGGTTCTTTAATTTTTTTTTTTTTTTTTTTTTTTAATGAATCTTCTATGATAGCCTTGTGTAATGATATGAACTGCAATGAATTCTCCATTATTCTTAAAAAAACCCAGCAACCATTACAAAGACCACAGGAACTTTGAAACAGATAAAGAAAACACTCCTGTTTGATTTCCATTGATATATATTAAGTCATCAAACAGTCACTTAACACCTGTCTGGAACCTAGCAAGAATATATAGTGGTTAACAATCAATTCTCTTTATTCAAGGAGCATTAGTATATTAAGGAAGAAAAAATACTTAGACCACTAACTGAATTGTAGTGTGCTGAGCTTTATTATGGGAGCTCTGGTGGAGTAGTGCCTAAGGCATTTGACTGCTAATCAGAAGTCTAGTGGTTCAAACCCACCAGCCACTCCTCAGAAGGAAGATTGGGCAATCTACTTCCATAGAGATACTGTCTCAGAAACCCAAGGAGGGGGTTGCTATGAGTTGGGGCTGACTCGACGGCAGTGAGGTTGTTTATTTGTTTGTTTGTTTGTTGAGTTTTATTATAACATATAGAATCTCTGAATAAAAATAAGCCTGAAACAACATTTTCTAAAGTGGTTACCCTTGACTCTTTTTTGCCTACTCAGAGTTTTTACATCAATAATTGGCTCAGGGTATTAGATTTACACCCCTATTGTATTGTATCACTAACACCTAATATAGTATCTGGCAAATGGTTGGTGAATATCAATGGATATTTGCTTAATGAATGGATTAATTCTATTATTTAAAAATATTATGGAGGATATCTTTAAAATAAACTTTCTTAAAGCAAGTGTTATTTGTTATCCAATGTGGTGAAGTGAAAATCATATACAGTTTTGTTTAGGTTAAAAGCACATGTCAATAGACACAAAGTTTACATAAAAGACCCTGTTGTAAATTTTTTATAACTTATAATTTTAAAAAAATACTAGTGAGAAGTTGTGGGAAGTTATATTAGTAAACTATTCTGGAATCATTTAACAAAGATTCCCTTTTTTGTCCTGCTTGGATGCCTTATCGCAAACTGCTCTCTGGTGGACAGGTTTATATTTTTTCTTTCATGGTACTTATGACTGTATAAAGGCTGTGAAGTATTTGCTTGGGCTTTGTAAGTATCCTCTGTTATAAAGATATATTGGTAATTTATTTTATTGTTTCTTGATTTATAAGTAAAAAGAGATCTCAGTCTAACTTAAGAAAGAAAATAATTTTTTGAAAATTAAGATTAGAATGTAGAAAGATGAAGTCACAAGTCCCCTGTTGTTGTTGTTGTGTGCCGTCGAGTCAAACCCTACTCACAGCGACCCCTCCTTGGGTTTCCGAGGCAGTATCACTACGGAAGTAGGATTGCCCAACCTTCCTTCCGAGGAGTGGCTGGTGGGTTTGAACCA